ATTATATCCTCAAAAGATGTTGTTTTGAGGTCCAAAACTTGTTCAAGGGTGGCTGAAATATGTATGTACTTCTGCATTGGTAAGCTTTTAAGAAATTTCTTAACAATCTTGGTTTCTTCAATGCTCTCCCCAAGAGTTGTTGCTTTAGAAGAAATTTCAGAAAGCTTGCCAACAAAGTCATCAATGGTGTCTGTCTCCTTCATCGTCAATCGATCAAACTCGATCATAAGAGTTTGGAGTCGTGCTTCTTTTACTCTTTCTGCTCCAAGATTGCGTGTTTTAATTGCATCCCATACAGCCTTAGCGGTATCTAAGTTCCCAAGTTGCAGCATAAGAGACTCCGAGACCGATTGAAAAATAAGGGCACTAGCTAGGTCGTTTTTATCAATATCAGTGGATCCAGGATCAATCGTATCCCAGACCTTATGGACACGCAACAGCAACCTCATCTTCATTGCCCAAGCAGTATAGTTGGTACTATTTAGCATCGGACATTGAATAGAAGAGGGGACAGCCTTCTTCTTGTTGCTTGTTGGAACGATCTCACTCATGTTGTGATGATCGGTAGTGTGTGTGTAAAACCAAAATCGTCAAGCTCTGATACCAAATCTTGGAATAAGTGAAGTAAGTATCTTAGACATCCGATTCTTCTTCTATAAAGCTGCTCATCAATACGTTTCGGATCTCTTGCTTTCGATAGTTCCAAACTAGGCTCCATTGGAATAAGAACAGAGTTACACTCACTCATCCCAGCTTCTTCTAAGATCTTTTTCGCGTATCTCTCTTGTTTTAAAACAATTCTATCCTTCTCTTGAAACACTTCAATGCCGAGATAGTAAGTGAGCTTTCCCAAGTCACTCATTTCGAATTTTCCAGCCATTCCTTTCTTAAAATCGAGTATCATTTCCATACTTGAACCAGTAACAAGTAGATCATCCACATAGACAGCCACAATAAGAAGATGCTCCTTCTCTTGCTTCTTGTACAATGACGGTTCCTTAGAACACCTTTTAAAACTTAATTCTCCAAGAAT